CAGTGGAGGTGGGGACTGGGCAATGTCTAGCCTGCATAATTGCAATCTGCCCAGAGAGTGCTTAAAACAATATGTGGCTGTATATAAGGAGCACCCTTTGCTTTGCTTTATTTGAAGGGTCGCACAGTATCTAAAACACCCAAAATTACAAATTAAAGATGTCTGCTAAAAGCTAAACCGCACAAACAAACCGCATACAGAAGACAATTCAAACATGAGCTTATTCCCCCACAAAGATACCACAGATGCATTTTAAATTGGCAGGTGAACAATTAGAATGTGGGGCCCATTTGGGATTCCTAAATGAAAGAAATTCTGTAGTTGAGCGTCATCACCAAAAATGCCCGGCCTTGTCTGGTATGAAGCTCTTTGGGCCATGCCGCTCGGAGATAACACCAGCAGAGTCTCCCCAGATGACCTTAAATCCTGGGTTACGTCTGTACTGAACTTTTAACTACCTGGAGACTTGGGTTTTTTTAGTACAATGAGGATCAGCCAGGCTAAACTGGATCAACCTGTGTTGGCCCGTGGTGGACCCTGGAATCTTTTGCAAGAGTGACCTGGCTATAAGCAGATCTTGGAAAAGTTCTTTTTCCCGACTATTACCCCCATATTTCTGGCACTGTAAACTTAAGTCCCTTTTCTGAAGCTGGCTACGTATAAGGATAAGCTGTAACGTCCGTTAGATCTATCAAGAATCAAGGCAACATTTACCGTCTTATGGGTGTGCTTAAGTTTCAGCAGCCTGAAGACAGCACGGACTCCAGGTTCGGCGTTGTAATCTTCGACAGCTATTCGGGCTGCATCGAGGGGAGCAAGCGATGAAGCATCTTCCAAGAGGGGGGATGTTCCCCCTGAGGCTCCCAGCGCCACCAGCAGTGCGCCCGTCACCAGGAACAGCTCCATAGCTCCCTTGATCGGCTGTCTAAGTGAGAAAAGACACTTTTGCTTCGCTCTTCCTTTGCCTGGCCCGAAATGCCAGGAGAATTCAACAGCGAGGAAATATCCTCGAACTTGCTCAAGGGGACGGAAACCACATCCGCTGAAAACAGCAGCCAGCCCACTTCGGAGCAAACTGTGGAAAGCAAGGGAGAACTTATGGGGGCTTTCAGCTTCCTTGTGAATAAATAAATAAAAATAAATAAAGGAGGCAAGAAAGATTTCTTACACTCCTGATCTGTATCTCTTTGAAAAGAGGCATTTATACTGCTGGATCAGCATGGGAGCGAAATTCTGGTGGTAAACAGACACACACACACACACACAAAGACACAGATTGAGGGCAAGAGACACACACACACACACAGAGACACAGACTGAGGGCACTGTTTGGGTTTTCCTCCGCTTCACGAGGTTTTCAGCTGATCCCAACCAAAGCTGCAGAGACTGCAGGCAAATCTGAGATCTTTCCAAAAGTTACACCTTCTTCTGTAGCCATGAAGCCTCAACTTCCTTTTTATGTCGATACTGTGGCTGTGCCATCCGATGCCCGTCTATTGAGGCGCTGGGCTTGGGAAGACCCCCACGACTGCCTATGGGATGCTGAGAGTTGGGAGTCCCAGAGAAGAAGTCTCCCAAGAGATGGGTAAAGGGTTTAGGCTTCCCAATGTTGTGCGCGTGCCGTCGTCCCCGGCCATAGACGGCAGAGCCAAGAGTAGTGTGGAATGCTGGGCGTGCGGCTCCAGGAGCATGTGGAGGGTGGATGGATGCCATCTCTGATAGCATGGGTGTAAAACCCCAAATCCCCAGGCAAAGGGACCTCCGGTAGACCCCGTCTGAGCGGTGCCACGGACGAAGCTCCCAACAACATGGCACTAGGAGCCATGCTTGTGTGAGAGGGTGGCAAGTGGCCGTGGAAGGGTGGCTCGTCCCAGTTGCCTTGAGGACGATGGCCATGGATCCTGCAAGAGCCAGAGGGTTCTGGGAGCGACAGCCTAAAAGCAAAGCTTTCCCAAAACCCTGCTCCTGGGAGACCCTCGGCCTTTTGCAAGGTGAATGTTTGACAGCCCGTTGGGTTCTGCGCACGGCCACAGCTTGCTGTGGGGAAATAAGGCGGCCACGGCCAGATTGACTGGCTTGTTTTCCACCCTTTGAGAAAAATGGGGAAGGGCTGGGCTAGGGGGCAAGGAACATTTTGAGATGGCAGGTAGTAGGGCTGGGCAGCTCTTCTTCCCCCCCCGGCAGTCCCCCCCCAGAATATGCAGGAAGCAAGACAGGTGGAGCGCAGAACCACATCGTGAAGCGCCCTTCAAAAAAAAAAGTATGAGGATGCGGCTTGTTGGTGGTGTGGCCAGAGCCTTAAATAGAACTGCCTGGAGAGTGAGCGTAGAGGACTGTAGCTGTTCCCAACTTCATGATGTGAAACTCCCAGGAAGTTGCAACCAGCAGGCTTAATGGTCAGGGATTCAGACCAGTCCATCAACATTTCAGTGCCCAACAATGGGAAGCACAGCGCACGGCTCTTCACAGCAAAGGCTGTTGTAAGTCAAGAGTCAACGTGAGGATTGGCTCTGCTGCTAGGCTTCACAACTGATCTGTTGTTGTTGTTTAGTCGTTAAGTCGTGTCCGACTCTTTGTGACCCCATGGACCAGAGCACGCCAGGCCCTCCTGTCTTCCACTGCCTCCTGGAGTTGTGTCAAATTCATGTTGGTCGCTTCGATGACCCTGTCCAACCATCTCGTCCTCTGTCAACTCCTTCTCTCCTCCTACCTTCACTCTTTCCCAACATCAGGGTTTTTTCCAGGGAGTCTTCTCTTCTCATGAGATGGCCAAAGTACTGGAGCCTCAGCTTCAGGATCTGTCCTTCCAGTGAGCACTCAGGGTTGATTTCCTTCAGAATGGATAGGTTTGTTCTCCTTGCAGTCCAGGGGATTGAATCACATTTAGATCACAGCGGATCTAAATGAAAGGAATTCCAGCAAACCATTCAAAAGCGTTTTAAAACCACTCATTTAAATTGAGGAGACTAAAACAACACTGCATGCTGATTAGTTTGTTAGCTGCAGGATAGCCATACCTGATTGATGGTGGTGGCTGGATCTTAGCATGAAGGCTTCCAATCTACGGCTGCCTACCAGGGAGGAGGCCCTGTTGTTGACGATGGGACCTTGAAATTAAAATTGCACAGCAAAAGGACACCGTTTACGCTCCCTTTAGAAGGCACACTCCTTCCGAGTGTTTTCGCTTTCCTTCCGATTCCTCTCAGCGATTGCACCTCCCACCTCGCCACAATCTCATTTCCACTTCAGGAATGTAATTTTTTGCACAGTAAAGGCCCATGTATCACTCCATATTATGCCTTGTTTTTATGCCAAGAGCCCTGAATGGCAGGAATTTCCTAAAAGCAACAACGCACCGTTTCAGGCCAGAACAGCCCGCTTTGAGACGATGAACAGGAAGTGTCCCTGTTTGCTTATGGGGAGTAAATATTTATAATCTTGAAATGGTTGAAATGGAAAAACTACATGTTCAAGTAGGGGGGAAAATAGGAAGATAGAGTTGGAAGGGGCTTATAAAGCCACTGAGTCCAACCCCCTGCTCAAGGCAGGAATACAAATCAAGAATATCTGACAGAGGGTTGTCCAATTTTCTCTTGAAATGTATCTGACAGAGGGTTGTCCAATTTTCTCTTTAAGCGTTGGAGCGCTCCCCACCTCCCCCTGAGGCCACTGGTTCTATTGTCATACTGCTCAACCTAAGGAAATTAGGAAGTTTTTCCTGATATTCAACTTAAGAAAGGTACAGGACACCTGAAGGGATATAGAGTGAGAGAACCAGAATAGGTCTCTCCCTCAGATAGAATTCCTTGCTTCCATTCAAGCCCTGAATGGGAGCAAATTCAGGGAGATGTCTGGCATCTTTCCAGGGAGATCATATTTGACATTGTAATTCCAAGGGATGCCAGAGTTGAAGATAAAGAATTGGAAAAATTAACAAAATACAGAGACCTGGCAATAGAAACAATTCACTTGTGGATGACACACATTTTGGGGGTTCCCATAATCATCAGGACATTGGGAACAATGCTGAGGAATTTTATAAAATATTATCATCCGCTGTAGATCTGTGAGATAACACCATCAGATCTGCAACCTCCCCCCCCCAGCAATATTAGGAACATCATACCAATGACACCCACATTTAACTGATGTTTTAGGTTTTGGCTTAAAACTTGTACGGTATCTGTTACATACCAGCCAAAGACTGTGTTTTGAATTTCCAAACAATGAAATGTTGTCATGGAAGTTCTTAACAGCAAAACTCTCCCAGTTTGCTAGGAATAAGCTACTCCATTAGTTACCAGTCCCTCCTTGTGGCTGTGCTCTGATACCTCACAGCTTGGCCAAGACCACACAGATGGGACAGTACACAACTTCATCAGCCATGCAAATGCTCCAGGTCATCTTAGCTGACCCCTCTCTCCTGGGAAACGCTGTGGCGATTTCAGATCCTGGCTCTGCACCAAAGGATTCCAATCCACTGAGTTATACCAGCTCCTCTATAGATCCCTTAGGATAGATCCCTATCCCTTAGGTAAAGTTAAAAGTTCCCTTTGACATTTAGTCCAGTCGTATCTGACTCTAGGGCGCAGTGCTCATCCCCGTTTCCAACCCATAGAGCTAGTGTTTGTCCAAAGACCATTTCTGTAGTCACGTGGCCAGCGTGACTAGACACAGAACGCCGTGACCTTCCCACCAAGGTGGTCCCTATTTATCGACTCGCATTTTTACATGCTTTCAAACGACTAGGTTGGCAGGAGCTGGGACAAGCGATGGGAGGTCCCTCCGTCACGTGGATTCGATCTTACGGTGGCTGGTCTTCCCACTTTGCAGCACAGAGGCTTCTGCAGTTTAACCCGCAGCACCACCACGTCACTATAGAGCCCTTAGCGGTGCAAAAATTCAGAAGAAATGTATACCCAGGAGCATACTGGGGTTGAGGTGACCTTTACAGACACAAATCGGTGACACGCACTCGGACAAACTGAGCATGCTCGAAATCCAAACAAGCTTGTTATTATACATCAACTTTATACATAGATCTTCAATATATATATAATATATATATGTTTACACATATAGACATCCACTTAAGACACACCTGAGGGAAATCCTACAGCAGCATGGAGATCTGGATATGATCCACAGCAGAAAAATAGCTTCTTGAAATCTTGAAGCGTACAATTAAATGGACTTGGTAAGGGACTTAAAAGTCCTTCACTGGAGAATAAACGCTCAGCATGTCATTAGACCAAAAATAAAAATCATGACACTTAAGTTCCTTCCATGGCAGTGATAAAATAAAGTTTTTTGGCCTGTGCTGAAATAGCTGCAGTGTCCAGACAGAGACACGTTCAAACTTGGTTTCTAACATTTCAGTGAAACGCCAGGAAGCCCTTTCTCGTTGTAAGAAACATTCAACCGGATGATAGATTGGTCTTCCCTTCATGGAGATTTTTAAACAGGTGGGCTTCCTGCTTCCGGAGGAGATGGACCAGAAGATCTTTGGATTCCCGTGCAAATCTACCGTTCCCCGATGGATTCACCTGGGGTTCAGGAACAATTAGTGTTTGAATGCACAGGACTGTAATTCTGCATGTGACTTCACATCCCATGTAACCACCACCCAATGAGGACTTCAAAGCAAGACTCACGGAAGAACAAGGTCGGAAGGGTGCACACATTTGAAGACAAAACCACATTCACAAAAGGGAAAGAATTACTGATCCGATAAAGAACGAGTTCCTTTCAAAGAATTTGGAGAACAGGGACCTGCCTGCTCTTTCCTCTGCCTCAAGGTGTCACCAACCCACACACAATGCTTTGTGTGGAACGCATGAGTTCACATTAACAGTGGTTGCTGACCTTCGCCATTTGCATGGACAGGCAAATCAAGACAGCTGGAAATCCTTCCTGGTGCTCCTACTTGGTCATCCCTTGCATTAGCGTCTGAAGGCGAGATTGCTTTCTTGTTGTGTCTCCCCTCCTGCCCCGGTAGTACGGAAACACACACTACTGCTCTTGTAGGAAAGAGCACCCAGGAGAAGGCAGGTTGTGGAAACGGCAAGCGTGTTCGCTTGATGGGCTACGCAGAAGGAAAGCCAGGCTCTCTTTGGCAAAACCTAAGCCCTCCGACATAACCAGGGCACTGGCGTCCCTAGGATGACATCCCTTGCTTTCAGCCCACCCACTGACCACATCCAAAACTGGCCTGGGAATTAGCAGGTGTACTGACCGGTGAACTAAGACGAAGACTGAGCATGTCCTGGAATAACTCCCTAGCCGAATTTTGAGGTCAACATTGCGTCACACTTAACTTGCCCAGAATTTTCTCAGGCACCCTCGATCTATTCAGTGGCAAAAGGAGTCATGGCCCCCCTAGTCCTAGAAAGATTGGGGGGGGGGAAGAGGGAATGGCCAAACAATTGACCTGGTCTTTTGTAATACTGCCATGGGGCAGCTCTTCAAACCAAGAAGAGGGAAAGGCTCTCTCTCTCTCCCTTGGTCACACGGACATGGTTAACCAGAGACAGACATGAGTCCCTTTGGCTTCCATGATGTCACTTGGGAGGAAAAAGAGGAGCCTCGTCTCAGCTTAACCTTTGGCAACTTGACAGGGGAAGGAAGGAGAGGAAGCTACCTCTCGAGCAAGCATGACCAAATCCCAAAACAAGCTGATGTGGGTATTAGGCAAAAGTCTGAAGGGCTCTCTCTCTCTCTCTCTCTTTTTTTTAAAGAGAGAGGGAACCAAGATTGTGAGGGGATGCTGGCTGGCAAAAACGGATGCTTACAGGCTCCTTCCTGGGAGTCATTCTGCAATGCGGGAAAATATCCTTGGGCATACTGAGGTTAGCCTGGGCATGTTTTTGTCTCTCTCTCTCTCTTGAAAATCCACGTCTTCTCTCTCGACCATAAGAGATTGTGGCATGAATATCCCTGTCACTGGCACACACCACATTGTGTCCGAATGATTCGGACAGCTCACCGGGTCGCAAAGGACAAGCCACAACACTGTGGGAGGTCCAGAGGGCCCCACCGCACTCATCCCCGGCTTTGTGGAGCCCAAGACAGAATTTTCCCCATCGACCTGTCTGTGAGGTTACAGGATAAAGCCCCTGCTTTCCCCTTGGCCTTATTTCTCAAGACAGAGCAGCCCTCCCTGTTCTTCACCCCCCTGAAGGGGTGTGTGTGTATCTGTGTGTGTGAAGGGGGTGTGTGTCTCTTCCAAACAAAGAGAAGCTCCCGATCAAATGGGAGATCCATGCCTGATCCAGACCTCTCCTCGCCTGGGATTTCTATGCGCTTTCGCTCTTCCTTTGTCAGCTCAAACACAGGCACTCCTCCCAAGTGGGGAACGTTTGGGCTCAATGTCATATTGCAATGGAACGCTCTTTGGGGAGCAAGGAAGGACCAGGTGTCCGGGATCCATGACAAAATCACAGAAAGCAGTGGCTTTGTCCTGCACTCTCTTTCTCTCTGTCTCTCTCTCTCGTGTTTTCAACCCAGAAGGAAGTTCCTCCTTTCTTCCACAGCTTTCTGGGGAACAACCACCCTTTCAGACAATTGTTTGGGGGTAAAGCACATGGAAAAAGGGGAGCCTTCTAGCCCCACTGGTCACTGTGGCCACTTCTAGTGCTCTCCTATACATGCCACGCAAGAGGCCTGAAGAGGGAGAGGGTCCCAACTCGTGCGGACAGCCGGCTTCAGACTCTTGGCCTTCTGCGAGTAACAGGGACAGAAGCGAGAGACCAGGATAGGGCTGGGAGACCCTGTGTGAGCAACAGATGTGAAGAAAAATGCCCGAATCAGGTCATGAGGGTCCATCTTATCTCACCGACTGACCGCCTTTCGTCTTCCAAGTGTTTTGGACTTCAGCTCCCATCATACCTGATCTTGGGTCATGCCCAGCTAAGGTTGCTGGGAATCGGAGTCCAAAACACCGCAAGCCTCAGTTGCCCTATTCCTCGTACAAAACATCCATAAGTCGTAACGGACCTGCCACCTCGACAACAGTTACAAATGGACCACAAAAGCAGCATCAGCAAAGGCAGAGAAGGGAAGGACCGATAGATCCGGAAAGTTTGGCAGAGCCACTGGAGAAAGAGGCGGACAGACGTCCTCGGTGTCGCCAGAATCTCCAAATCCTTCAGAGGCTGGAGAACCGCAGCAGGAGCGTGGTTCTGACCAGGGGGCGGTTTTGTGCGTTCCCCCCTCCCCCAATGACCAGAGTTCCAAGCACCTTGAAATGATGTAACGCTCTTGGGTAGAAGTCAAGTCTCTTTTCAGATTGTCCTCTCGGGATGGGAGTTTGCCTCACTTCTGGCCGTTCTGCTTTTGCATGCAATGCAACGCATACCATACACACACCTCAAGGCAGGCCCCTCCCCGCCCCCCCGTCAGATGGTCAGGAGGGGTATGCAACCGACCCCGACCCCTCCCTCGTGGCACACCATCGGGGCCATGAACGTCCAGCGATTGGTTTCCGGGTCGTACATTTCTACCGAGCTCAAGTTGGACTGTCCGTCATAGCCTCCCACGGCGTACAGGCGGCCACAGTTTGTGACGAGGGAGACGCGGCTGCGCCGGGTGTTCATGGGCACAATCAGGTACCACTGGTCCGCCATGGAGTTGTAGACCTCTGCGATGCTCAGGAAGCCGGAGCCGTCGTAGCCGCCGCAGACGAACATCTTGCTGCCGAGGGAGGCTGCCCCGTGCCGGCAGCGCTTGTTGAGCATGCTGGCCACGCTGTGCCACGAAGCCGTGTGGTGGTTGTAGTACTCCACCTGCGTGGGAGAAAGAGGATGGGAAAGGGAATCAGAAGAAGGGGAAACTGGGGGGGGGGGGACACAACTGGGAGATCTGCCTCCTGAAATGTACTGCCACTCCCTCTCTGGAGATCTTTAAGAAAGCCCTTAAAACCATCTTATTCCATCAGGTTTTCCCAAGAACTCCATTCTTGGAAATGGAAATTCTTGCTTAAGAATTGATGCCTTTGAATTGTGGTGCTGGAGGAGGCTCTTGAGAGTCCCTTCATGACCCCTTGGACCAGAGCACGCCAGGCCCTCCTGTCTTCCACGGCCTCCCGGAGTGGGGTCGAATTCATGTTGGTCGCTTCGATGACACTGTCCAACCATCTCGTCCCCTGTCGTCCCCTTCTCTCCTCCTGCCTTCATACTTTCCCAACATCAGGGCCTTTTCCAAGGAGTCTTCTCTTCTCATGAAATGGCCAAAGGACTGGAGCCTCAGCTTCAAGCTCTGTCCCTCCAGGGAGCACTCAGGGTTAATTTCTTTGGAAATGGATAGGTTTGTTCTCCTTGCAGTCCAGGGGACTCTCGAGAGCCTCCTCCAGCACCACAATTCGAAAGCATCCATTCTTCGGCGGTCAGCCTTCTTTATGGTCCACCTCTCACTTTATATACGGGATACTTGACCCCTGGCATCTCCAACTTTGTAAAAATTTATATTTTATTTTAATTAAATATTATATATTTAACTGGGAGCAGCCCAACGGGCCCCGGAAGGCGGGCGGGCAGGCAGGTGGGCGGGTGGGTGGAGGAGGCAGCAAGCAGCTGGCTGAGTCACCCTGAACCGGATGCGCCAGGGAGAGCATGGCTTGGCAGGGTGCCCGGCCGGTGCCCTCTGCGCTCGGTCGGTGGTGGAGTGCCCCGTGAGGTTTTCGCTGCAGCTGCAGCTGGGGCCGGCTTGTTGCACAAGTCCCCGGCGGTTGATGCAACACACGGAGACGGAGCGGCGGGTGGCTTCGCACACACGGCCTTCTTCTTCTGGGGGTGATGCCAAGGGAGAGCCAGGAAGGGCTGGATGTTCCTCCAGGAGGCTGGTGGGGCCGAAGGCTAAGAGCTGACCTGGCCTGCCTCTCTGCCCCCACGAACCCGGGGGGGCCTTTGAGTATTTCCTGCGTGGTGTTTTGTATTGTAATTTGCCAGTTTTGAGACTTTTATGTCAATTTTGCCAAATTGGAATCTGGGGTGGGGGATGAGTGTCCACTCCCTCCTCTGCCCTTAGAATTCATCTTATTAGTATTTTCCTGACAATTGACTCTAATAATTTCTCCCTTTGACACATTTTCTAATTTAATTGAGGCTCAGATGTTGCATAAGGGAGCTAGTGAGATTAAAGTGTAACAAATAATATTTTTCTAACCTAGCTGGGTGTGACTAATATCCAATCAAACAATTAACTCAAATGCATATATGATAGACATAGCCATACACACACAAACCATCCAATGCCTAAGCAACATTCAGGTCATAGTTCATCATTAAAGCAAATTCTATCTTATAGACTCTCC